TTGTTGCTGCTGTTGTTGTTGTTGCTGCTGTTGATGTTGTTGTTGCTGCTGTTATTGTTGTTGCTGCTGTTGCTGTTGTTGTTGCTGCTGTTGTTGTTGCTGCTGCTGTTGTTGCTATTGCTGTTGTTTTTGTTGTTGTTGCTGCTGTTGCTGCTGTTGTTTGGTGGGGTAGAAAGGAGGGTAGATCTGAGAAAGGTTGTCTAGGGAGAGGGAGTTGACTATGACCACAACACGTCTTGTGAAACTCTCAAAGAACTAATAAAAAGCATTTTAAACTATTTAACCCAAACTTTATTTGGGTTATACATGGACATTAAATGAACTCTTTAATAAAAAGTTACCTTACAACTCACACTTAGCAGACTACAAGCTTTCACCAGCCCGAAAGCTAAGAACACCTTAATTTCTTTGTTCTACAACTAATAAAATCCCTTGGAACCACTTCCGTGGCGGAATATTGATATTTGGAAAAACTTGAATCTTTATTCCTTGGCCATGATCACTTGTTTATGGTTCTGACATCAACTATCTCTTCAAGCTCGCTCTCTGCTGCTGGGATGAAACATTGTAACAAAGGCAGCTTGAGGAAGGACTAAGTTTGTCTGGCTTGGACTTTTGGGTCACAGTCACACTGCGGAAGCAGAGCAGGAACTCCAAGGGTGAGCCTGGGGGCAGAAGCTGAAGGAAGGACCATGGAGGATGCTGCTGACCAGCTTACTTTCCATGTCTCACTCAGCTCGCTTTTCTTACACAACCCAAGACTACCTGTTCAGGTCTGCCACTGCCCACAGTGAGCTGGGACCTCCCCTATCAATCATTAAGCAAAATCCCTCACAGACTTGCCTACAAAGCAAACTGATGGAGGCATTTTTCAATTGAGGCTTCTCTTCCCAGATGACTCTAGCAGGTGTCAAGTTGACAAAATTAACTAGCATGGTATCTTTTATTCCTTTGGGGGTTAAAAAACTGTCTTTACAATATCTCTTCATTTTATTTAAAAGAAAGCCATATAATTCTTGATTCCCTCTTGTAAACGGAGATTGCTCGTTTGTTTCCTGGCTGCTCAGACTCAAATATTCACAGAGAAACTATAGTAATTACAACACTGTTTGGTCAATGGCTCAAGCATATTCCCAGCTAACTCTTAAATCTTAAATTAACCCATTTATATTAATCTATGTATTGCCACAAGGTTGTAGCCTACTGGTAAAGTTCTGTCCAACATCTGTCTCCTTCAGCAGCTACATGGCATCTCCCTAACTTCACCTACATTCTTTCTATACCTCTCCTTGGATTCCCCACCTGAATTTACTCTTCTAAGTCATTGGCCAAAAGAGCTTTATTCATTAACCAATAAAAGCAACACACATAAATAAGACCTTCCCATATCACCGTCTGATCAAAACTGAGTTGTGGCTAGAGCCTTAAAGCCCACTCCTAGCGTGCATCTCAGAGAAGCATGAGAGTGGGACTGGGGGTCATAAGAGTCACAGCCATAGCACTCTGAACTCTTTTCAGTCACCTCCCCTCTCCCCACAGCAAAAGGAAAATTATTTTTACAGTCAGGGCTAATGATAAAACTCTGACCTTCTCAGTGGTGACCAAGTACTCTGCCGCTTTCCCATACTCCAATCTCAGCAGGAACATTTTTGATGGTTTTACAGAGAGGACAGAAATGGGGAGACGTAGCCCCATCAGAAATAAAGAAATATGGTGACTGCACAGCTTAGAAGTTTCCACTATGAGAAAAATTCAGGCCACAGATGAGATAGTTTATCTTGAATACTCAGAATGTTTGAAGACTGGGATCAAATAGGCTCAGTATTCGTTACAAGTGTAACCATAGACAATTGTTCCCAATAGTTCAAATGAATTCTAAGGTCTCCCAGAGCTATGAATCCAAGCTTTGAAGTCAACAGAAGAGTATTACATCGCTACAAGAGGAAAGGACACACAGAGAGATCAGTTACAACCATCAGCTCAGCATGTCATCTGCATCAATGATTCCTTCAGTTCCTCCCATTCCATTCCCCCAATGCTGACATCAGCAGAGGCTCCTCTCTGAGTCCCAGAGGATTGCACGTTCTCATCACCCTTTAGTCCTACATCAACCCAGCCACAGCAACACCACACAGAGCCCTAGGGTCATTAAAGGGAAAGAAGTTGAGTCTGATTTATATTCAACTTGTAGAAATGTTAGACCTGGCCTTTTGTTCTTATTTCATGTGTCTCCCCTACCCAAAACAAGAAAGAATGTGTTAGAAGCTAAACTCTAGGCAAAACAGTGTTGGGTGATGAGGCCTAATTAATAGTGATTAGGCTATGAAGTCTCTGCCCCTATAGATGAATTAGTGTCACTATTTTTGGTGTGGGTCCCTTACCAAGGGAGTAGTTTCTTTACACAAGGTTGAGTCTACCCTCCTCTTGCTCTCTTCCCATCCTTTTTTGTTATGTCCGCTATGAAATGATACAGCAAGCTAGACCCTGCCAAATGCAGCCACTCAATCCTGGGGGCAGCCACTCAGGCTGTGACACGTTTAAATACATTCTAAATTACCCCCTCTCTCATATCCATGCTAGAACAGTACTCATCAGGCGAAGACACCTGCAAAGGCACAGACAGAAGCATCTACCATCCACATGTTCACCACTCATTCATTAACATGTGCAACACATAACTATTAAGCTTTCTATATACCATACATTCAGGGTTGTAAAGTTAATGAAGCATGACCATTTCCCTGGGGAAGTTTAAGGACGATGTTTGCCAAGTAAACCCAAGGGTTCTGAGTAACATCATGAATTAAAGATCGGATGGGTAGCTGAAATTGGTATGTAACTCTCGACTCTGGTCCATAGGACAATTCTCGTTAAAACCTCTGGAAATTTGACTTCTTTTTTACTAGATTTTCTGAGATTTTCAGACTTCCAAATTAATTACTTCATATTCCTAGAAACCTAGGAAAGGTCTCACTCTAAAAGATGTCACTAAACATGACATACCCAAGACCACATCTAGAATAGAATAAATAACTCAACCCAGATCTCTCCTGACTTAATACCCTTAGGATTTTACTCTGAACACCTCACAGAGAAAAAAGATGACTGTGATTCTATAATGATCTCTTTATAATGATAACATCTGCTTGTGCTCAACCACCAGATCAATATTCTATCTTTGCCAATGACTCCACCTGCGGTACTTTTCTACTGTTGGGTAACAAGCAGTGTCAAACTCAGCACACAGCTGCTACTGCACATCTCTTCGCATCAGACACTGGGGTAAAACTTTTCTAGTGCCTTTGCTCTAGGGCTTCTTGAGACCACACCAACAGGACACTGAGGATGGAGACCTTATCTGAAGACTCAACTGGAGAGAAAGATCTGCTTCCATGCTCACTTATGTGGTCACTGGAAGACTTAGTTTCTTGAACTCTACTGAATAAGAACCTCCATTCAGTTCCTCACTGACTACCAGCTAGAGGCTAACCTCAGTTCTTCCCTGTAGTGTCCTCCACAACACAGCATCCTGCTTCATTGTAACTAATGCAAGAAAGGCATCCAGTATGCTAGATGAAAGTCACAATCCTTTCTAACCTCATCATGGAAGTAGCATTTCTTCATGTTCATCTCACTATATTCATTAGAAGCAAGTGGGCTGAAGTTCAGTCCATGCTCAAATGGAAGGGATTACATAGGGTGTGAATATTAAGAGATAGGGATGTGGGAGCCTCTCTAGCAACTGGCTACCACACAATCACTCTGAAGCACACACTTAAGGACATTCATGTCTTCCCCAGGGAACTAGTAGGCAGAGTAATAGATGTGAGACAGGAGCTAGACCCACAGCCCTCCCTTTCCTCATGCCCAATTTCTTGCTAGCAAAGGCAGCCAAGCTGAACTCAAGGAAGTTCAAGAAATATGCCCCCAAGCCTCCCTTTTCACTGAAGAGCACAATGAATCCTCCTCTATGCTAACTGGCTCTTCAGACAGAGTTCAAGTGTTGATGCTCTACTGATGACCGTCTTAGAGGTAGGAATGAAAATGCTTTTCCTTCACAAATTATTTTGGCCTTAGACAGTAGTTCCAGTCAGCAATTAGAATGGAAGTCTTGAAGTCTTGGAGTATTTTTTTTAAAACTCAACGCTGATTAAATTTGCTCACCGTCCATGTCATACATGTATACAGTGCATTCTGTTCACACTAACCTCTCTGCTCTTCCTTCCCTCCTTCCCACCTTGACTACCCCACTCTTCCCTGCAAGTCCTTTCCATGGTCAAACCTTTTGTACTTGTTTTATAATACATTTTGCTTAACCAGTGTTGTCTGTGTGCCAATGGGTTTGGAGTTATACCCATGGGAGCCTGGTGAAGGTACCATTTGGTCCACAATTAAAGGCCATGACTGCCTACTCCCCAGAATCTATCAATTCACAAACAGCCAATCATGAAGGCAATGAAGACAGTACTTTTTTTGTTTTGTTTTTGTGGTTCTTCTTTCTTCTATTTACTCATAGGTGTTAGTGCACAGATTTTATATATATATATATATATATATATATATATATAGCACTATTATGAGGCTGGAGAAATGATTTAGCAGCTAAGAGCATGCATTCCTCTTTCAGAGGGCCCACATTTTGTTCCCAGCATGCATATGTCTGATGATTCTCAACCCCCTGTAACGCAAGCCCCAGGGAATCAGACATCGTCTTCTGGGTTCTTCAAACACCTGAACTCACATACACATAGCCATGTACAGATGCTCATAATAAAATAAAATCTTGTAATAAGAGAAGGAAGATATTCTAAAGTTCTTGATTATTCACCCACCTTCCAATTCATGTTAAGCTATTCAATAAGCATTTTTTAAGCTTCTGTTGCACGTTAGATACAATGTTAATTCTTACTGTGCTAAAAAGATGAGTAAGGACCAAGTGTTACAGTGAAACTGTCTCAGATAAAAACAAAATGAGAACAGAAAAAAATAAAGAATGAACTACAGATAGATGAGATATAGATATTTTAGTCAAACACAGTGTTTTAATTAAGGTTATATTGGGGTGATGAAAGACCATGACCAAATATCACATTGTGAAGGAAAGGGTTGAACAGTTCCACATCACTGTTCATCTGAAGTCAGGACAGGAACTG